GGATTGAGAAAATATGAGGAAAACAGTTAGTGCAAGGAACTGAGAATGTCGGTAACCGTCACTGACAAGCTACGAGCTTTAATTTGAAATGAGTGACGCCTATCGCACGGTTGACTGGTCTTTGTCTGCAGGTAGGCGTGAGAAGGTCTACCAGCTATTTTAATAGATTTGTTAGTGATTGTAAAAGGGTCCTGATGGTGGTCTTCTCTATATGGGTCTACATGTGGGTGAGCTCACAGAGGAAACAAGTCTATATGCACTCTGTGGTTCAGTGACCCGGGGAATCGACAGCTAGTTGCTGCGGGTGATTACGTGAGATTGACTCCGACAAATTACCACCAACCTGTGGGCGAATACATGGTGTGTGTAGAATCAGCCGCCGAGCGATGAATACATTCACAATGATGCTACAACTGTCTTACTGCTTCTGAGAATGGATCCGAGTAGGCCTATCTGATTGGAAGAATTATCTCAAAATCATTTTCTGTAAACGGTATTGGCGTAAAAAGAATTTGACGGAAGTATTTGCTGCTCCATGAAGTAAATGCATACACTTTTGCCGGATGTTAACTAATCCACATTCATGGTCCAAGACAGCCATTGCCAAGGCCTATGGTCTCTCGGTCGTTCTATATTCTGCTTCTAATTTTAGTATACGACTTTTTCATTTGATTATCTGTTCTCAACCGAGACCCAATTGAGACCCGGGGACCGATGTATAAAACCTTGTTTAGTTGGGGATTATTACTGCGAAGACGCTACTTATGTGAGGTGATCAGAGAACCAGCTAGTTTAGATTAGAAGAATATGTCATAGCTCAATAAACACTTAGAAATCTGGGGGCAGTGATTCTCTTGGACCAGTAGGATCTACCCGTTCCCACGACAGCATCCTATCAGCATGACTTGCAATCATGAGACGAATGCCTCACTCATTCCAGAGTGCACGAATCCTCCAGTTTTGCTCACCTCCTGTTTTGTGTTATGAAGTCCATACGTGGCCCAAGTTATGTCTCTTGTAGTCTAACGTCGTCTGCGCTGCTTTGATTCACAAATCTTTCAAGCACAGACTCAACCGCACCATGGAATTCGAATTCACAACAGTAGTGGCTAGAAATACGGTAAAAATCAATTTAGACGAACACGGAACCCAACTTTACTTATTGATTTACGGCTAATTCATTTAGCAACGGATCTCCTTATTTTCTGGTTAGTAAAACAGTGGGGATATAATTCACAGAATGGGCTTTCGATTCCCGTTCGATTCACTACATACGTGGCAGCGAAGATCTTAAAGATAGTTGAAACACCTGAAAAAATGGTTAGTTAGGCTGGCATTTTATACTAGAGTACGTATGGGATGGACAGCACCAAGGGCACCCCGAAAGGCAGAATAATTCAATAATGTATTGCAGTGGAATTGTTGAAGAACCTGAAACTTATCGGTGACAACCTTTGTGAATACTAGGAAGAAAACTGAATGTTTCGCAGAACAGCAAAGATCGAATGCCAGCTCTAGTAGTCAAGCCCTAGCACTCAGGACTGATAATATTTGTACATGCTACCGGTTTCTTAGCCATCTTGCTTGCCAAAACCATAAATTCCGACAGCCAAAGACGAAGTGCGAAATCGCCGGTTCGAACTGCCCCAAAAGCAAAGTCCGTACCTAGTTTGACCCGAAAGAGCTCATCTGGAAGTTGGATAATTGACCTCTGCTTCATCCAAGAGTGGTTGAATACACATAGTTTTCAGGGGCTACTTAAAAGGCTCTCAGTTTTCACTTAAAAGAACCCGTAGACGACATTCCCTCAACCAATTTCACATAATTTGTCTAGTGCATCCGTATTAACTAGGTCACACGACGCGCCTGATCTGCAAGCACACAAATCACATGACAAACCCTGTCCCACTCGCAACCTTGACCGATAACAAGTCAGTTCCTGTCTTGTACGCATCGGAACAAGCCATACCTTCCTATATATAGGAAGACACAGTCAACAAACATGCTCGCGCGCGTACATAGGGACAGTCATTGAACAGGTCTAGCTGCCATACTGCGGAGAAAACACATTCCCGGCGTCCGGAATTTCACCCAGGAACTCTCACAAGTTATCCACAAACGACAAGTCACCTTTTGATTTATTCCCTTGTTCGCACTGTAGTTTATCATGGAGCAGCCAGTAACTGTAAACTACTATCTACCATAGTATAAACTGTTATTAGTGCATACACCTTCTGAGTTATATTATGACTATCAATTACACAACCTGTGCACTAATAAGCCTCCACTGGAACAACAGGTCAACATATATTTTAAGCGATATGGGGTCCCAACACATTCTGCGAAGAAGTAATACTGTTCACAGGAGAACCTACCTCACAGACAGGGTTCCCAAAAATGGTTCCCATAACCAGCAATCCTGAGTGCACAATTCTTTTAGTTGGAGCGACGATAAGCGGAACTTAAAACTGTGGAGATACGTCATTCCATTAATGCTGTTGTACTAGTAAACTTGGAAAAATTTGGGGTTACCTGGGGATATTTTTGAACTCATTCTATAATTTCCCAGTCAACTTTAGATAACGTTTCCATTAAGGTACTCGCAGTTTCATGAATTTGGTGAAGTGAGCCTTTCATTTTCCCCGTTTTTATAAATTGTACATCTGCAGGGCGTTGTAGCAATTATTCACGCCTTTGAATGTGTACCTCAGTTTATTCGTTATGCATCATACTGCTTCTAAATCGCTCACAAGTGACCATTTACAATAATCCACGCAATGCTACGTCTTCCGTCAATTTTCATGGAATGACTGAGCCTAACTGATAGCAGTAATGGTTGATCCAAAGTATTCCAGCTTGATGAAAGCAAGAAATTTCCTCGAAATTTCAGAGAATCTCTCACCACAATTAACAACCGAACAGGATAGGCGTCACCATCATCATCATCGACAGCATGACATCAGTGTTGAACACCGACGCTTCACTGAAGTACAGGTTGTATGTGGGTTGGGATACTGTCAGGGCACCCACATCTAGGAAGGAGGACAATGGTCCTCAACCAAAGCCTAACCGCAAGGCAGCGGTTTTTAGAGGGAAATAGAAAATACATTTCCATTTCTACGGAATAAGTTGCCACATTTTCCAACCACCACCCTGGAGGACCAGGAGACTGTGTTTGTTTGTCAGACCTCCAACCATTTGACCAATCTGGTACGAGAGACTCTGTTAGTGTCGCCGGGACCTCCCCCCCTTAGCGTAGCTTAATGGGTCGCTGAGGTGCGCAAATCGTCACACCACGGTAAGGTCTGGTCTCTTCGAGACGACGTCGATTCTTCTGGTGAGTTAAGTGTATAAAACATCATTATGCGGCTTCTGCGGCATTGCTGCATTGAATAAAGCTTATGTTGGGTAGGTTGTTTTTTCTGTCTTTATTTCTGAGGCAACCTGTGTGCACAGCAGCCAACTTGAAGGTACCCACGAGCAGATCGACGATCTTATCCACTCGGCCACCCAAAACACGTAGACGGAAAAAATGCTGAGTACCGCGCACATCACTATCAGACCAGGTAAATAACGAAAGAAATTTCTGGTGTGATGATAAGCAGGCTCCAAGCAATCAATAGTTTCACTAAAATCAACTCATACCGATTTCACCATCGGGAGAACAGAGGAAGCAGATTGTGTCCATTCAAGGTCATAATCGGTACAGAATATAGATCGCATACTGACTCAACAAGATTGAATACGAGGACCTTTCAACTGACCTGCTGATTTGCTCAAACATATCCAGGCATTATTAGGCGCAATCTCCAATACATTATGAAGTGGACAAGCAATCCTTCCAAGCTCACTGTCACAACAATTTGTTACGTATACTTCTCAGGCATCATAATACACTCACCTATCGGCAAGTTACAAACATCTACCCACGGTTAATACGATTCTTGTAAAGATTCTTCAACCTGGCTTTACACTGAAAACCTTTTATTGAGCTTGCTTGGACTGAGTTATCGCATTATTTTTCCACGGAACTTTATCCATCCTCTTGTTAGCCGCATTAGCCTGGGTGTCTTCGCTTCAAGTTACATGTCTTTTGGGGACAACCAAAACGACAGACGATTTGCAAAAACAATCCTTGCTCTTTGCTTGTCGATTGGTTGTTATCATGCGATAGCAGAAATGGCTTTGCCGATAAAATATTGATGTGTCTGATCTCCCGTTTTTCCGTAACTTTGACTTAGCTTAACATGAGATCAACAGACCAAGTTGTACCAGGTGCAGTTCAGTTCAGTTCAACTTCAGTTTCCAGCTCAGAAATGATCTACGTAGTACAGTAGTTCTAGGTGGTATAGAGGATAAGCAAAAAGACAGAGCCACAGGTTGCAAGCGATGGCCTAATTAGTTCATTGGCGTTAACTGGTACTAAAAGTAAGGGATCTACGCAGCAAAGACGGGAGTTTCGGTGCAGCACCGCAATTAGCCGTGACATAACCCGTGTTTTCTCTGGTCCAGAGTCTCCATCCGGAAACACAGCAGTTACCAACGTGGATTAACTGACGGTTAAGGACCTTCATGCTTCGCTGTGAAGTCATGGACGGTCACCCTGATCGTATCCGTCCGCTAACGGGCTGGGCGTAGAGAGGAATACGAGGCCTATGTAGTGCATGTCTTAAACGGCACAATCTGTGTGTGGAGCGTAACCACCTTGAGGGTTACCTTTCCAAAAAACCATGTGGTATATCTCAGCATTACTGATTCATTGTTGCAACTAGATCCGGAGGCACCAATGGGCAAACACAGAAATTCGTCGAAGATCTGAATGCAGGGGTTGCTTTTCTGATCCATGAGGCAAGACAGCACGAAAAGCATCATTGTACACTACGCATGCATTGGATGTGCCAGTTTTTTCGCACCAAAAAATTACCGAAACCCATTGGGTATTTGACGAGCATAAATTCAGTTCAAGCATAGAGGCTAATGTACAAGACCTATCATCTCCGTTAAATATGAATAAGACGATTAGCTGATGTAGGAGAATCTAAAAAAGGCAAACCTGCCGAACTTACACCCAGGTGGTGGTTGTAGCGGGTGGCCAGTTGCCTGACAGTAACCAGCAGGAAATAGATCGGGAGAGCTTGCCTCCAGACACACATTGTACTTCTCCGCCCAGCCGTCATAACCGATCGTGAGAAAACCCTGAGGAGTGTTGGCGACAATATTGGCAACCCGGATTAGTTGAGGGCATCGCTTATCAACTGCTTCGCAGCGCTGCCCCGCCTGTAGCTGATCTGACGATTGTCTTGATTTAGGACGCTACATATAAGCGCGAGAAGATGGATGAGAGGGAGAAAGCAAAAATGTGGAATCAAGACAGAAAAGATAGAACGTGCGAAAATACCACCATCGATACTTAATATGCTCGTTGTGTCACAACGACCTGTATTATAATCTTGAGAAGACCTACGGTAATAAGCATTCAATCTTAAACTGGGGTTGAGGAAGACTCAAAGAATTCACTATACTAGCCTAGCCGACTAAGTTTTAGGGAAAATATGGTGCACTGGAATAAAAATTACCTTTTCAAATGCCTCTTTAGGGACGGGCTTGGAATTAGTTTCTTTCAAGTATTGCTTCCAAGTAAATCCTGTGGGGCGTGTACTCCATTCTGAAATAGAACGCAGTGTATTACAACAAGCATGAATGCATAGTTGATGTTGCATTCGCCTCGTATGAGCTGAGCAAGTACGGATTCAAGGGAGATAGTTAATAATGACGATACCTAAGTAGACTCTTGGTCCACTCATGGCCAGGTTATACGTTGAAAAACATGCACAGTAATCCCCCTATCAGAAAAGAAAAGTCATTTATGAAGGAAATCACTCACAACGTTGCTGAAAACTATTCGACAGTTGAGTCTCCCGTGAATACCAGATTGACATGCAAATGAGTGTATTTGTAGAAAGTCTATCCACCGAGAAGGTGGATAGACTGTTCAAGGACAGGAATTATGCTCATTTCTATACCGCCCCCTCTATCTTTCTGATGGACATCTTTCTGAAAGAATGTGTAATATTACCAATGTTGCCAACCTACTGCTATTACCTCTGTGTGTGTATGTCAAGCGATGGGTTTTAAAAATTCACTGACAGCATAAGTCACATCACAAGTTAGTCATCTGCCGCATTCGTTGACCGTAAGAACCGGGCACCTAATACACGCCGTTCGGAAGAAGTCAGATGTAATCAAACAAAGTATGACATATTAGGTTCTTTCGCTTAACAACACAGACGTAGAGCGGTCTACTTCGTGCCTACGAAACAACGCTATTGTGCTTACTAAACCAAGTCTTCATATGATAAGAACGATATGAAAAACGTCTCTCTGTCGATTTCTACTACAAATACTACCACATTTTCATTGGAATCTTAAGCCACAGAAATCAATCTAGATCTTCAGCTCACTGGCTTCTCCGAAGCAGAACCATTTGAAACGTGTCTCCTCATAAACGAGCGCAGCAAACCACTCGGTCCTGACTTTGGTCCCCCGTGAGAAACAAATTAGGTACCAAAATGTTCGGTCCGCTAGCCTGGAACGTTTGCCATTTGGGGATCCATTCTATGGCAGAGACGTCCTGTCAAACCCATCAAGTGTAAAGTTGGCCTGTTGGTAATTTATTTTAGGAGATCATGGTGTAGCATTAGTGAAACAACTGCAAGGTTGTGGTATCAAACCAGAAGATACACATGAACACAAGATAACTGGTCCCCTTCAGACAACTAATCCCTTTGGAGAGGTTGTAAATTCCAGCGTTACACATTTAGCATTTTCTGCAAGCTTATACCGGAAACTATTGGGGCGAAGGACATTCACACCGCTATATTGTCATCTTAAGCAGAAAATTGTAAGAAAACCTTACTGGAGGTACCATAATTTTCACGATACATTATTCTTTGGTTGAGTGCCAACAGCCCTCCTCGCTTTCTGTTGCAAGCGGAAGACTATTCTCCAAACCCCTAAAATCGCTTGTACCGCCGTCGGACACGTGAAAGCAAATTGCGGGCTAACTTGAGAAGGTGATACTCACATCTTCGACAGGAAGATGATGGTGACTTTATGCACTTGTTCCAAACTCCACCCCAACCCAATCCGTCTGGCTCCGTTTTTCACAAGGTGCACCATCTTCTCCTTGATTGCAGATGGTATGTTGGACTCCCATAAGCCATTCCAAACATCCCACCACTTTCGAACGTAACGGATAGTGAGGCTTCTAGGATCAAACGATGGATGGATAGATACTTTCCTTTTCTTAAATATCATCTTCCTGTGGTGACATTCCAAGACCAGTAGAATGGTCGAAAACAAGTACAGATGTGACCAAAAGCTAACAAGGCGATTCGATCTCCCTATACTGATCTTAACAACCTGACAGACACTGACGTCCAGCCTGACGCTGCCTCCACGGCCTTTTTGGGGTGCTACATCTAACCTGACAATAGAACGCTGCAACATATGCATTACACTTCAATAAGCAAGTAGCTTTATTCCTAAGTATGGGATTTTTTCGTCCGTCAACCCGATGTTAGTAACAACTGCACAAAAACCGCTGAGAAGCAGCAGAATTTTGTGGAGACTGACCAGAAGAGTGGGCAAAAACCATAAAAAATCGCTTGGTATTAAACCTTAAATTTGTGAGGCTTCGCCAACCTGCCTCGTATAAACATTCAAAGCCCAGATGAAAACATCCAGTGGTACCATCAAACTGATTCAGCGACGAATTTACTCCTCAGATAGCTTGTCAGTTATTTCTAGATAAAGTACGACTAACCCCTGTTATCCCATTGCATGAAAGGCGGACAAAGTACCGCTATCCTTCGCCGGTATCCTTTCGGAATAAATAGATGAGTGGCAGCCCTCCGCCACCTTGAGCGTCACCGTATCGAGCAAAAGGTATGAAGGGTTCACCGGTAGCTCTTCAAAGTATTTCATTCAAAGGTTCTTGTGATGATGCTTTCAACCCCCATAGCTGGGATAGAACCTGCTAACCAGCAGCGGCAATTCTTGAACCACTTGACAGATTACTCTAGATGTACTAATTTACTGATCGCAAACGGAAAGCTGGTGTCAGCCAAGGAGTACTCACCACTTGGAATGGATAGAACTAGTTCCTTTTCTTCACAATAGCCAACAGGATGTAAAAGTTCGGAGGTTATATGAGCCCATTGATCGAATCCGGAATCCCATCCATCGAAATGAATTAATATGTAGTCACCAATATTATCCTTCACGGTTGCCACGCATGCGATTCCAGGGTTGCGTTTGTCGACGGCTTCCAGTTTATGTCCAATACGAAACATGTGAGGGGGCAACTCGTTTGTGGGCTAGAACAAACAGAGAGAAATGAAATCTAGGCGTTGATAATTCACAAGGCCAATGTAAGTGACTACTTATGGCAGAACAGTGACAGATCTCAGAAACACCCTGTCGCTTGGAATAAGTCAGTATGTTTTTAAGGTGATGATGTGTTTGGCTGAAGTCACACCGTGGCACAAGTAGAATGGAACAACATAAACTATATAAAAGCACCTCAGTAAAGCTTTGAAATCATGAGTAGAGATATTAGGGCTTTCGTAGCCAAGGGGATCCATGAAAAATGGAGTGAATTTTTGGAAACCAGTAAAAAAGGGTGACAAATAATGTCTCAGAGAAGCATCAATAAAAACACGTTTTTCCCTTGACACTCAAACGAATGATTGACCAATGACCTTACTTAGAATCACACAGCCGGTCATGTAATCGAAAAACAGTCAGCTATAACTGAAAAGTGAAGCTGAAAATACTTCATTGCTTTAGTACGAATGAACTAATAGAACCCTTACTTACATAAAGCGTAACCATGCACCTCGAGACAAAAATTAGTCAGTGCGCTACGTTGTTTAGGAATCAACCTGAATTTTAAGTAGCTTCGACTCATCACAACATAATTGTGCAGGCTGTATAGCTTTTCCACAATGAACGGTGCTGTGTGAGCTAGTTTTCTTCTGAAGCTAGTAGTCAACGGCTCTAGACATTCGCGCGAGTAATTTGCCGTACAAAAAAATCATGCGAAATTCTATTCGTGATGCCCTGTACGCCGTAGAACTACTGCGCTGCTCCTCGGATAATCAACACCAGGCCACCAGACTGCTATCTTTGTAAACTTCTGCCAATTTCGACAGTCGCATAATTTTGATCAAGAACGAGCGAGACATAACATCCGGGCCAGAAAAGGCTGCGTTTAAAATGTGCCGAAGGGAATGATAATTCAGCAAAAGGGTTGTTTTTATCCGGACAAACGACGTCAGTAGATCAGACCCCATAAGTTATGTATGTGAAAGGGACAAAACTCTAAATGTTCTGTTCGAATATCGAACAGCATAAACTCACGCAATCCCAAGACACCCGAAACAAGTGTCGTGGAACGGCAGTATAACCCTCTTTGGTCAAAAATGCATCCCAATCGAAGGTAAGTTGCTCACGATCCGAATAACCCTTAGGTGGTTGGAGTCGACGTTTGTTGTGAGCACACCATCCCACGGGGAACAAAAATGGTGAGTCCACAGTTGTCCAAAAGTCGTATTTTTCAGGGTATCCAAGAAATCGCAGTCGAAGGCGCCTTCCCACCACTTCAACAATCTTGAACGCACAGAATAGGCTCTCATGGTGCGGATCAATTCCCTCCATGCATTGATCACACTTGAAGCTACTGGTGAGAGGTGTATTGGCTCCAAGTCTAGGAGAAATGCAGTCATTCTGTGGCGGGAAGAAACCAAACCCCATTGGGTACACCACACGCAAAAAGCAATACACTGAATAAAATGATGTAATAATCGATTACCAAGAGCGTCAGCTTATTTGGTAAGCATCTAGGACGGTTTGACATCTAAACAGCCCTTTAAAAAGGCGTAGTTGACGTCCGTGCGAATAGTAAATCATATACGAGTCGAACCTAAGAACTGCTGAACATTCGTAGATGCAGATATGAAAGACATTTACAAAACTACTGTAACGTCCAGTCACAGGATAAACTACAAAACAAAATTCCGATGTAGGTGGTATCGTGCATCCGGTAGGTGTACACACCCCCCTAGTAGTGTGGGCATTCTCAGGGTGACTTCATCTATGCCGAAGAGATGGCCGCTATGTGATCATGAGAAAGAGCAGTCTAGCTGCATCCCATTCCTTATGCCTTCTTAGGGTGGCATAAAAGCTAGTTGCTGAAAGGGCGTTACGGCTGAACGATCACCGAAATAGTGTGGAATGGTCAAATAATTTTACATGGTATCAAAAATCACTAGGAACAACTGTAAAATGGGGCTGTTGAATGAAATGGTGAGAAATACTAAGAGGGTATTTGAAAAAACAGATGATCGTATCTTGGAGCTGGAAGCCCCGGAATGAAATTTTCGCGAGTTTTAATTTTAGATGTGTTGAAGCTTGAATTTTCCGTGGGAATTCAGGAATAGTATGCAAGAATACAGATGTAAAATACAAAATCAAAGCTACCTACTTGGATTTCCAGAGGAACATGGATGAAGTGTGAGGTCGGTACACTGGACGCACCGATTTCTTTGAGGTAGCTTGGCCAATCGAACGGACCAGATCCTGTAAGAAGATAGTGCGCGTTGTCATGAGCATGTCAAGGCCAAATAAAATACCTAGCTGAAAGGCATAGCGTTTATTTATAGCCGTATTCGTTTCCAGTCGAGATGATTTGAGGATAGATTTAACCTATAACTTGCAGCTAAAAAACTGGAATGTCACTTCCATGTCACTATCCATAAGAGATGTTTAATCAGACTGACCAAAATCGACTACTTCAGAACTGTGGTTGCCATAGTGTTGCAGATTATAGAACGAGTGTGTGCATTGTCAGGTTGTCAATCAGAAAACATTCAAGTGCACTGAAACGCGTCTTCAATCGGAGCTTCTCAATTTTAGAAAGAAAAAGCAGTTGTTTCAGCAAGCCCGGTGCAACTCACTCCCTATTCATATTGCTTTTCCAGTAAATAGAGAACAGCTCTCTCAGATCATTCTATGGTGACCATTATAATCCACCAGGAGATGAGCTCTAATGGGGCAGACGAGGAATTTATACAAATGTTACCAAAATGTCCATTACTGCGATATGCAAGTCCCGAGTTTCTGAGTGTCAATATGTTTTCACTACAGAATAAAATCAGTCCCCATTATTTTTTTGAAGTTAGACTAGTAACATTTGTGATGGCATATTAAGTATATAGGTTGTTTAGCCGGTTGCCAGAAAGTTGCAACGGCAACTGTAAAACTGGGCTGGAAACGAAGAATATAAGTAGTTGTTGCAAATGGTCACCTGAAAACAGGCGATAGTTAGATGCAGCATCCTTCATAAACACATTTGTTATGTGTCACACTACCCTAAGTTCACGCGCATGAACTTTCATAACCAATCCTTGTGGGCGTAGGAATCCACAGAAAATGATAGAAACATATGAAGCACAAGGTGGCTGTATTTCTTTATGCACCACACCATGCTTTAGAACCTAAGGTTAATAACAAGAGGGAAATTGCCCTCTGTTTTTGTCATTGTTCTCCACCCGGGGGAGGTGGGATTCGAGCGAGTCGAACGGGAGTATCATAGCACAACAGCGAAAAGTGCGTAGTAGAAATGTTTCTTTAAGGTTATGATGAACGTTTTAACTAATATCGGACAGTAATATCGAAGTTAAAAACCGTCCTCTTGATTCCCCATGATGGATGCTGTAAGAGAGAATTCCACTAGCCCCTCGATCTTTGTTTCTACATGATACCTATCTAGGGGCGAACTAGTTTAGAGAACACTTGTACATCCACCATATCGTCACTATTCAACTAATTGGCATTTTCAAATCGCAAACGGCAGCGCGAATCCGTTACGAGATATGGGCACTGATTTCCTCTCATGAAACTCTCAGGGGAGCGTCAGGTCGAGAGTTTTGCGAAAAAGAGGAAAAGCAACCAAGAATTGCTGGCAAATGTTAATTTGGCCGGATAGAATATATCATATATTTTTACACACTATAATAGTAGTTTAGCAATAAGGTGTAAAAATGAATCACCAGTCATTTGACATTAGGCAGGGTAGGACAAAAAACGAACTCCTCATAGTTAACAGACCACAACCAAGGTAAGTCTCGTCATTCACAGACGACACATGCTCCGATCACTCACCATCCGTCGACCGGGGAAAGAAATGAAGACGGCTTGAGAAGGGCGAATTTTCTCAGTCTACATCACGACGAGATTTTTAAACTTAAACTAAGACTACTCGTGGAAAGTAGTAAGATGGTTCGAACTCAAATCCCAATGAACGCCGTCCATCGTGGCACGAATTGCTAATCGTAGTCGCGGATGAATCAGTTGGAAGCTAACGCTGTTTATACCAGTAAAAACAGATGGGTGATTACACAAACTAAAAAATATCGCTGGCTACTGCAGTCACCATTCTAACACGCTACCTGTCACTAGAGTAGTTTTCTGTGATTATTCAGTATCTCTACCTAAGCAGGAATAAAAGGACTTCTTGGACGGCTACTTTATTTGAAATGAAATTTTGCAAGTTAGCTATACCACTAAAATTTCAGTTGTCATCTCACACAAGAGGCAAGCGACACTTGTTTGCCAGTCAACCTTACCTAAAGAACGACAGTGACGGTGATAAAAATGGTGCGTGACAAGTGATATGATTCAGCAAGAAATACATTAGATGAGATAATAAGCCAAAACTTTTTACTGGAGATTGTGCAGGTAAAACATTACGACTTGGTGGTGGGAAGTGACTGTACCCACGCGGCCTTATCCAAAGCCTGATGAGTGTCGCTTACAGTAGCGGAATGGAGAAGGCATGAACTATGACAGGTTTAGTTGTCAGATGAGGTCACTGTCCACAGATTCAGAACCCAGAAGCAGTATTCGATCTGCATGCAACGCACGCAGTTTGGGTAGTCTGTTTAGACAAGATTAAAAGTGTAAATCACCTCTTGGCTTTTCAGGCAGAGCCAAATTACACTACCTTCCCGCTGCAACGAGAGTGAACAAGAACGGTGATTTTTTTCGTTAAAGAGACCTCGTGAACACTTGCGAGTAAAATGTGGCTTAACTGTACTCATGAGATCGTAACGTTGCACTACCGGAAAAATAAAGACATAACCAGAAACAAATTACGGTCGCCGCGACGCTGCCGTCAACACGCGAGTCCAAACGAATCACTTATACTATCCTGGATTAACCATACGAAGGTGAGAAGTTCCTACACTTGTTTTACTACAGTATCTGTGTACCTAGTTCGCTACGGCTCTCCTCTCCATGTGCGAATGTGAATTATCGGCTGGCGAAAATCAAGTGGCTTTAGCTAATTTTCAGCGAATGGAAGAAAAACAATGAGTCCTTACTTATCTGGATTAATCGGCAGGCATGCAGTAGATGGTAAGGAGCATGACAGTTTTTCCTATCGCAGCTGAATCATGATCCGACCAAATCTCAAACAGGTGCAGATGGGAGCGAGCAAGCAGTGCGCATAGGTGTGTCCCTGTAATTCCCAAGATTATCTCCTCGGCCACAAGCAAGGCAGGATCTCGCAGGTAATGTTTCAAATCATTTGTTTGTGTTGACCCGATGGGCTTATATTTCGACTGATTCCGTCTAATTACCAGTGAGAACCACTCGCCGGTCATGGTCGTGGCAACACGCACGGTTGTTATGATACCGCATCACGATAGTGGACGATACACGTGAGCCGACTTTGTGAAGCTCACTTAGGCAGAGCAGCACACAAACTTTAGTAGATTTCTGCCATTGAGGTTGATAGAAACCTTAAAGAACCGGGTCAGACGGGTCTGCTTTCATGTTATATTATACATTGAAATGAGGCGCGTCGCTAACGTGCTAATAGCTAACGAAACCCCGAACGGATTAATAACTAGGAATGACTCAAGGTGAATCAACTGTGACGATGTTGTTAAGATCCCAAAAGCAAACCGTTGGTACACAGCCAAGCGTTGCATCTTCAAATTTTCACAAAGATCTTTCTCAGCAGCAGTACAGCGATCATTGTTTACCATTATATCACAAGTTAAAGCTCAAACAAGATGCACACTTAAAATATGGTCATGTATTTTTTTCAGTTCTTTTTTAGGGCCAAATATTCTGGGTGCATGAAACAGTAAACCGGCAGGAAATACATTACCAGCCTCAATAACAAATATTCAAAACTTTAGCCACATCAGGTATAACTGACACTAAACATATCCAAGCGAGCCGTTTCAAGTCGTCTACAGAAAGCCCAAAATGGAACTAAGGACATGGCTTGGCAACCATCGAAGAAGACACAATAAGCCCATATGAGTCGGCGCTACACTGTCACAGGAAAATCGAACTAAATTTGAATCTACGTTGGTCATGTAACATGCTATCAGAACCACCCGAACAATAGGTCTTAAGGCCACTCTGTCCAAGTAGATGAGATTATTTTTACCAAAGAGCTGTTTATGCTGTACCCCGTTTTTAATCACCCGGCCAATAGTAACTGCTCTTCTTCGTCACAATCATTATTTTGACCACTGGATATGTGCTAACCTGATGAGCGGATTTCAGAAACATTAATAATCGTTAATTGGTGTTCCCGCCAGTGTAAACTGCGTCCACATGATTTTTGTAAATCAACCAGTTAAATGCCGAAGAAGAACAGTGGTCAGACTACATATGATAAGGTCCCCTCCCAGCTTTGAATTTCTAGTGCTGTAAATTGTCCTGGCAAATGTTGGATGCGGGGGGGGGGAGAAAGCACCCAGTTTAGAGACAGCTGAAACTGCGCAAGAAAGCTAGATGAAGAAAGGGCCACTGGTTGGACAAGCCTAAATTCATTTTATCGTACAGAAACTCCAAATGATCGGGGTTTCAGTGAAAACGTGGAAGGGCGGTGCAACTACAACATTCAGAACAGTCAAGTTGAGAGACTGATTTTTGAGACAAGCAAAACGCTTAACCCTCAAAAGCTAACCAATTAAGCAGAAATTCATCATACTTTCCAATAAATTTGGGTTACAGATGCCGTATGTCAAATGAGTGGCTGCAGACGTGGCGAAAAGAACGCAACATCAAACCTGAGGAGAGAAGGAGCGTTGATCAATGAACAACTTCACTTGCAATGAAAAGACAGGAAAAGGCTAGCAATAAACATCCCGAAGACAACGCAGCAGTGTTGGTGAGTTTACAATGTGGAAAATAAAAGTTGATATCGGCCAAAAGTCAAGGCGTTTTCAGGGAGTTAGTGTAATAGGACACACTGGCACTGGATACAGGGACATCAGGAACGAGTGGATGACGTCCGCTCACTTAGTCCATCAATCTAATAACAAACTCTGAGCCCCAAAACGAAATGTTATGCCAACTCCGGACAACTGCACACCACACCGTTCTATGTCTGCCTGTCCCAGCATCATTTCAAGGTTGTCAGTATTATACAAAATCGTAAGCTTCATTATCATAAAAAACTTCCGCAGCACCTCCTATTAACTGTGGAGAATCACGTCAATGACTGCAGTCTAACCCTAATAAAATCAGTTGAACTTATGAAGTTGTTTTAATTAAAAGAAGCATGGAAAAATTTTGCTTTCATAATGAATGAACGTCCCGTTGAAGGTAGGTTCTGTGAAGCTGACCTGTATTTCCCAAGCTCAAAATTAATCTACTGAGTTTTACTAGAATCAGGGTTTTAGCACTCCATTCCTCCGTTCACTATTTCACAAATTGTCGATGATGCTGATTTTTTTATCGACCGCGCCTTAAAATGATTGAAAGCCCTCGCCGGTGGAATAACTGTGGACGGGTTTGCTCAAGGCGACGAGTTTCAAACGTTTTTCCCTACCGATGATAACTCAATACAAAATTGATTGGGATCTTGGGTGGTAGTCTCCTTGTCATGAACTCAAAAACAACAGCATAATCAATTAGTTCGATTTCGCCAGCATATTCCAGATGTCTGAAGTGATGGGCTGCTTTACCAATAACCTACATAAAGAATTAGTGCGCAGAAACTGACGCAGAAGTAAAACGATGTTCTTTAGCTCTTCTTCAAGAATTAAACAAGGGACGTTATTTCGCAATTTTTTTCTCAAACCGCAACTAATGCAGTTTTCTGCGCTCAAATGCGGAAACCACGACGGTGCTGTGTCTTGCACTGGGTCGGTTAGCGGCACTGTGTTCATGTGCTGTCTGACTGTTTTTTCGGCAACAAGCTTATAGATAATTAAAGATAAGCGAAGTAACGGAAAAGCCACACATTTCATTGTAGTAAGTACTTCGCAAACCTCGGTGGCTTATTACATTTTTATGGATACCCAAACTGTCTATCGTATCGAGTAGACACCCGCGATTATTTCTTTGTTGGATGTACATACATATAGCAGCGTACATGATCCACAAGAGGTAAGTCATCCTACAAGTGTCATTAAATATGGTCCCTCTGATATACGAGTACCTAAGTGATATGACCGAATTTGTTTGGTTTTTTCGAAGTGGGAATACCGTGGTGTAAGATTCCTGTCAGCTTAGGAATTTTGAAAAGAAATCCCATTAAAAACACCATAATGTGCCTTTCTGGGAAATAACGACGAATTTTATAGGATGATGAAAAGTTCAAGGAAACTACGATAAGCACTGAGCACCAATAACCTCAGCAATTAACTGGTGTTTTCCTAGGAGACGTCCAACTCGCCTTAGGAAGGAATGCTATTCAGATGTGTGAAGCTTGATCTCACCCAGCCATTCTGAATAAATAAAGTCGCTTCTGTCCCAGCAAAAATCTCTACTACTATGGAGTGGTGCAGTAGAATTCGGAGGGCCACCCAAATTTAAGGGAAAAACAAATAAAATCGGACAGTTGGGAGACCTCGCGCTAGCCGACGAATTTATCAAGCATCCGAAAACGAACAGAACTAGTTGATGTGCTTACGGAGTCCAAGGCCTAGCAGTTCAAGAACGTGATGCATGAAATACGGTGCTCAGTACTTACTTATAATAGGCGTGGGAATCACAGACTGACGTTCTTTTGGCTGAATGGCTATCTCGGTGACATCAGACTCGAGGGTGCGTTGCTTACGGGGGCGGCCTACGGTAGACTGCTTCCCATTGACCATTGGAGAATCTACATGTCCGTTCGTATTGGCCGTTCCCTTCATTCTGTCCGCCGATATGTCTAAGCCACGCTTCTTTTGTCCCTCGCTATTGGATAGCAGTGTTCTATATCTGCCCGTGTTGGGAGCAAGTGAATTACGCTCTAAAAAATAAAAGGCAATACTACTCAAATAAGTAACATGGAGTAAATAAGAAAATCAGAGTATCAACTGGTCACCAGAAAAATAGATAGCCCTGAAGGGGATAATTCACTGAAATACGAAAAACTGGGAAGCTGCTCGATGTAAGTGAAATTCAAACTTACGTTTACTTAATCCAATATTTTTTTCGAAATTTTTTCCTCTTCGCTGCCGAGCCGGAGCAAGAGGCATTTATAAACACCCAAAAGAATCACCAAGCTAAAATGATATCGGGTGAGGTTGTTATCTTCATCGGGGAACAAAAATCTCTGGATAGTGTTGCGCGTTTTGTGTGCTTACGGAAATATGGAGAGGTTCAGTGGTTTTGAGGACGCTTAAGGATGAATAAAACCACAATTGTAGCGGAAGAATCAATACGAAAACACACTTTAAGCGTATAGGGTATCGACGAGAAAAGGACGGCTTTACCGGCGTGACTAGTCCAATCCGCGAAGGCGCACGATGCTCAACTGGACGCACGCATGATATTGGAAGAGAGCTTTAGCACAGTGTGACAACACCGTTGCGCTTGATCGATGGCCGATTAGTGTACGTATGTTTCACGACCTAAACAAGGGTGACTACAAACAGACAAACACCATCGCGGACCGCATATATGCAAGATGATGTGACGTTTTATTCAGAGGTTAAAGACAGCGATACGGTTCAGTGTAGCACGGACTCTCAACCAATTATATCGGCGCATTGGGTACACAGTACACACCACACCAGAGTGCGTGTGCGATAGGTGCATACGCATGATGTTGATTTGACAAACTATTATAGTGCGGAACATTCTCTGAAAATGTGAAGAAATGTGGTCTGGTGGCAACTTACCCCCAATTTCGGATGTTCCGGTGTTTGGCCTGTTTAGGCCATCAACGGAGCAGTCTAGCAAAAGATAGGATAATAACGAATGGTTATTTACTCTCGTACAATACGCTTTTCCTAGAGTAAGAAAAGATGTATGAAAACTGGTCGTTATTGATGGTTTGGGTGGTTTTTTGTTGCAGCGTAAGAGTAACTGGGTTGGTGTGTCCAGCGGTGTCCTCCGGGTGAACTCGAAATCAGATAAACAGGTGAAGCATGTTCCACTCGTAACATTGGAAGGTCCAAACACCGATTTCAGCCTTACAATAATCAGAGTTTCCGATACAAAATAATTTTGTTATACTAGGGGAATTAATTACACAGGGATTATAGAGGAGTCAACGTTCAATATTTCCACCATATACCGTCTGGTTATATGGGATAGCGTGATCTGCCTTCACTGGGTTTCAACGGATGGAGTGATAGGGTAACATCAGCATGGGTACTGCTCGAGAAAATATTCTTAAAATTCACTGTTTGGGTGACTGCCCAATCGCTATGTCCACGAAATGACAAATAATCAAAGCAAATATAAGTAAACTTACCTACGCTGCCTCTCTGAACCTACCAAGTTCCACAATTTTCCTCTGGCGGTAGAACAGTTTATTTGACCGTAAGCTAACAATGAAAATAAGGCTTAATTTTCACTGGCTACGTAAAAATTGAGGCGGTGTGTTGGATTGTGTCAACCAGCCTTGTGTCGTGCGCACAGGCGAGCTCCGCGAGAGTGCGCACATGATCTGAGGGGTGGGTTGTGTAGGGCTGCTCGACTTACAGACAGACGGTGGCTTGCCTCTTGGCCTGTTCCATTGTGGAACCATGCGTGGCCAGACAGCCCAAGATACGGTGACGCACGAACACACTTACAAAGCATAGAAAGGTGATACACACGTACGTGATACATAGTTGCACACACTGCGTGCACAGGCCCTGGCGCACGATTTCGCGAGGCTTGGATGGGCTGGCTCAACATGCAAACTAACCAGGAATGCTGGAGTTTACTCGCTTCATGTTTATTGGTTGACGGTGGCCAGACGTTTGAAGCTTGGCTCTTGGTCTAGGCCGGTCGGATAGGACCCATCTGGCCTGGATAGAGATGTCTGCCTGTCATGGATAGGACCGAAATTTACTATGACACGACGAGATCTGATTCAACGGGCTGTGTTCGTTCGTACTATCGATCTGCCGCGCGCGCAAACTGTCTCGTGACATGGGCTCACGCTAGCATGCTATCTGCTCTGGAGCAGTACAGGTGAGGCCATCCAAGCGAAGCAGCCAAAATAGTTGTTTCCAGTATGGTGACGGTGACTCCTAGGGGCGATCGCAGTGTGATGATTGACATCACACAGTAATAAACTAAATTTCCCCTAAATCACTCTGTCAGCTAGACCACCAAAACGGGACCTAGATGACTGTCACTTGGGGAATTTCATGAACTCCGTGTTATTCAAACACAGCTTCGTTATTTTTGTCACAAAATACCAAACGATGTCAAGTGAATGGAATAGGTAAGGTTGTATGTATCATCACGATACAATTTCAGTTTAGAGAGGTCACATTAAAAGCACTGTCGAAGAAAACCTGACAGGCGAGCTTCACACAATTGTATGCTCATCAGGGTCCCGTACTTTCCGCACCAATCTAACTGATTTTCAGCACTTCCAGCTGGCCAGTTTCTCCATCCGTATTTTTCAATGGGACGCCGATTTTGCCTTCCTCACAACCCCCTATATTTTCAAACTCATCTTGCTCACTTCGGGGGTGAGCATTGACAAGATGCGTTGGTTTTGATTCCCCTTTCACTCACTTAGACTGGAGGTGATCCCCTTTTGATTACGATTGCGGGAAGAAAGAGTGGATCAGACGTCTTTGTTCAGAGAGAACTATAACATGTATTTGGCACTAATGTGCGCGGCCATACGTTCCAAGTAGGGGAGTTTTCGATGCAGGTAGGGTGGACGGGTGGAGTCTATTTAACAAACCCTTCGCCACTACAAAAATAGAAGGAAAAACTAGCTGGCTATCTAGAGTAGTCCCTCTGTGATTTCATCTAAAATTACTTCAATGTTCGTTAACCTTCATACACGCGTGTCATTTCACAAAAACCCAGAAGTTTATTCGGAGATATCAATTTTCCAGTCATTACTCAGCCTTGTTGCTCTTTGTTGGATTGCCTAAACGCTCTCTATTTATTAAGCCATTTACGGTGGGACATACACTTTTATTGAGGGATATCATCATTACCCATTTCTTAATAGTTCACTAGAGCATCCTTCATTTCCATGATTAGTTAGTTAGTAGTTCTAACTTTGACACCGCCTACAATCCTTGAAGTGTTCTGCACTACCATTAACTTCAGTTTATTCCATTTGTGTCAGATGAGTTGCCTTTAATTGGAAATAAGAATTGCTTGATTTCGACGTGGCAAATTACGTTGTTCTGAGTGCGACGTGCACCACCAATAGATCGCAAATAGATGCAACCAACACATATGACCGTCTTCTGCTATCTTCTTGAAGTTAGGCCAGTTGGTACATTTTCCTGGCTACAGAATGTGCCGTGGTATCCAACTGCATTCTGAAGACATTAAATCGGCTCGACCCGCAGCCTGAAACTGGTGTGTACGACGCTAGTTAGGTGTTTAATTTTGCAACAGCGCCGCGAATTTAAGTCACATGCTAATGTTCCGTTCCGTGAACAGAATCCTACAGCAATAAGTCGACCACAACTGTCAAAACCGGCTAATTTTTGTGACTGGAGTAAACTTCGGTGTGCATGCTGTGTCTTAAGATGCAGCATTATTTTGTACTGAGTGTCCTTAAGCGAATCGCTGCATCCGTCCATCAATCCTCACATTTATTGGGCGTTAATTTCAGCATGTCATATAGACTAGTGTATCCTATTATGCTGATGAATGCGTGAAATAAGCAGTTTTCTTCTCTAGGCTGAAAGCTGAGCTGAATCATTGTGAAGAATAGTAATAAATAATAGGAATTTAGCCAACAACACTATCGCGTAGTCAACAGAGCGAGAGCGTTCAAGCTCCATTCTCACGAGGTTATCTGCACTTCACTCAGAGGAATAACCTGTAATCCTTCAACCTGATTTACTATATGGAATAAAAGGTAATGAATGCACCATCTGATAGACATTTTGAGTTTTCCGCGGTTTGCACTGAAAAACTGATTGAACGTATTTCGCTTCACAGTTGTTTGCTTTCCACGATTTTCTACGTCCCTCTCCATTTTCTACAAAACTCCGGACTGCGCAGGAAAAACGGATCCCCGATGATCATTTTTATCTTCGGCCTCTGACCAGACCAAATTAGTCATCGCTTATGTGAGGATGACGTATACATACTTGAAAATAGACTTAATAAGCATGCCAAAAGTACTGTTGAATGGTTCATACGCCATCCACTGGTTAATTCAATCGAAATGGATCGTGATACCTTGGTAGTTGATTGGTTCTGTTGCCTCCTATGGGTTGTCTGAGTTGATGGAACATTTAGTAATGGTTATGCTGTAATAAAGCAGAAAGAAGTGGAAATGCTGAACACTAGGCCCAAATAGAACGACGTATTTTCCGTCGTTTTTCAGTTCAGTCATTGTTTGGTGGTGGTGCTTTTAACGAAGTTTTACTTCAAGGACAACCTGGTCACTGCCCATCTTCCGCTGTGATACCTGGCGCAATGAGACCCCATCAGTCCCAAACAGTACCTTAATTCCCCGTAGAACTTTGGACCTACTCACTGACCTACCACCAAACTTCGATTACTAAAAGATCCAACTGTTCTCCTCCTTTCCTCTGCTTGCTGTGATATCCTTTGATCAAGATGTTCATTAATGATTCATTTTTGTCAGGAACAGTGTCTCACTGATCGTTCAATTTTTTATTATCATCAAGTGCTTGTTGGCTTCTGAGTATTACCACAGCACGATAATTAAATAGGTTAGTGCAGTTCTGTAACAGTCCAGAAGGGTTTAAAGGAGTGT